CAGATTTCCATCACTGTGACCAAGTATCTGAGGGAAAAAAACAACTTATGGGAAGAAAGATTTATTTGGGCTCCCAGTTTCACAGCCCATGATCAGCCAGCTCCATTGCTTTTGGATCTGTGATGAAACAGAAGTATCACAGCAGAAGGGTGTGGCAGAGGAGAGCGGCTTATCTCACTACAGCTTTCGGAAAGCAGAGAGAAAGCCAGAGAGTAAGAGGCCAGGGAGAGGGTATAGTCCCCAAATAACACAGCCCCATGACCGACTCCCTTCCACTAGGCCCTGCCCCTTAAATTTCTATTACTTCCCAATAATGCCATCAAATTATGATCTTATCAATGGATTAAACCACTGATGAAGTTAAAGCTCAAATGATGTACAAACCTTCCAGAGGCCCCAATTCTGAACACATGAGACTCTTGGGGGACATTTCATATCTAAAGCGTAACAGTTGGCAAGCATAATTTCTAAGAGAAGAGGCAGAGCTGTCAGCTAGAGTTGGCATTGCAATCACAAGGATTACAATCTTAGATGGTGACAAGCCATTTGTGCTTTCAGAGGGAGCAAGGGAAGCACCTGCACATGTAATAGCACCCAAACTACACCTGGCTAGGGCTTTTAGTTGTCAACTGACAATAGGAAACCCAGACTTGCAGTGTAGGACAGGTGCTGGCAAAGGATGAAGAGTAGACTGGCTCCTCTATGCAGGTAGGAGGTCAGGTAGGGGTCAGGTAGGAGGAGTCCTTCTAAGTGCCACCTATCAGCAAAGATAAAAGTCTTGGTCACAGAGGTGGCCAAAACGTGACAATCCAAACACACCTTGTGGATTTCTTCCCAGGGGCTCCACAAGGATAAAGTCTGACCATGATAAAGCTTTCTTTAATCTCTACATCTAACAATGCAATCTCTATCTGACATTCTTTTCACAAAGATATAACAGTGTTGACTTGGAGGGACTGACCATCTTGATGCTATCTTCCTAGTAGCTACTCAGGGAGAAGATGGACGGAGATGTTTTCTAGGAGTTTCACTTTCTGTCCCTGTGACTCTACATCTGTGACAGGAAAAACCAGAAACTCTGGATATTATTCTTCATCTTTGTGGTTGCAGTCCAAAGCCAAACCACTTGAGCACCAGGGTATCAAAGGGCCTGTGAGTCTGTCTATCAGGGTATCTGAGTCTTTCCATCACTCACATTAGGCCATTTCTCCTTTTCTTTAGTGATTGATCCTGACGTTGTGGGTCATTTCCAAAATCCTAGCCCTATGCTGAAAATTCCTTCATCATTCTCTATCAGTGACTGTGTATCCTATATTACACACACACACTCACTTGAAATCCCCCTCTGTATTTTATATTTTCCCCTTAGAACTGAACATAAAGCTAGGTGTGATGGCGCATGCCTAGAATCCCAGAAATCAAGAGGCTGACAAAGGAGGATCACAGTGAGTTTGGGGCCAGCCTGGGCTACATAGTGAGACCCTATGGGGCTGGAGATTTAGCTCAGGGGTATAAATGCCTGCTTGGCAAACACAAGGTCATGAGTTCAATCCCCGGTACCAAAAAAAAAAAAAAATTGCATATAAAACAAATGTTATATTTTACTTCCTGTTGTACTCTCCAAATAATGCTACTATGGGAACTCCTCAATGAGAAGGCCAATTATTAAATCAAAATTCCTTCTCCTTATTTTACAAGTACATGCAGTTTTGTCTGTTTGTTTTTTGCTGCTGTTGTTACTAGGAATCAAACTTAGGACCTTGCACTTGCCAGGCAGAAACTTGTGCTGTAGGAGCTTGTGCCACTGAGTTATATCCCCAGCCCAAGCATAAACTTTTAAAACCTGTGAATCAGATCACCTAAGCCTTGTGCTTAAGGCCCATCAGTTTCCCCTCACCTTCAAAATCAAGTGCATACTCCTTCTCATGCTACCCACAGTACTCCTCTCCTAATGAACTGTGTATGATTGCCCAGTTCCACTGAGAAGCACAGTTCCATGTCCACATCACCTGCACTGCACCCAATTTTCTTCCTTTACTACTTGGAGAGATACAGCTTGATCTTAAAACCTCTTCAAATATGTATCCTCTCTAAAGTGAACCCAGTTCCCAGGTACACTCCATGGCAACACTGGGAGCTCACCAAGGTCAAGAACTGTCGCAAGTCCATCATCCCATCCATAGTTCAGGTACACCCAGCAGGAGCACAGTAAGGATTTAAGAATGAAAGAGTGAACATGTAGAAATAATGAAATACCCCTCTTCTGCAAAGTCTATTCAAATAAACAAAAATGAAGCAGCTTCCTTTCATGCTGCCAGGGTAATTCTGGAATCCCTGACTACCCCACTGATGTTTGTTTATACAGTATAAGTTCTTTTTAACTCTATTTTCAGGAAAAGGGATGAGACATAAATACTAGCGCCAATACCAAAGATAGACGTCTAATATAAATCTGGTATAGATAAGCACAGCCATATATATGAAAGGGTCTTTATAAACTATGCTATCATCTTGCATTAACAGTTGTGTGCATTAGAACACTTTCAAAAGGCCCAGGAAGTTGTATAGACATTCTATTACTGGAGTCCTGTCCAGAGAGATTTTCAAAATGAACTGATGAAAGAAAAAATCACAACCTTGGGGAAACAGTTAAAGGATGGAATACTAAATTTTTAAAACTAGGCATGATGACACACATTGTAATCCTAGCACTTGGGAAGCTGAGACAGGAGGACTGCTGAGTTCAGGGCCAGCCTGGCCTACACAGTGAGTTCAAGGCCACCTAAACTATATTGCGAGACTCTTGTCTTAAAAAAAAAACAAAAGTTTAGCTAAATCTTCTCTTTTCTTACTCCCAGGCAGTACTAAAACTTTCCCTTTATAAATATATAATGTATCATACAAATATGAAAAAAGTAATCACCAAATTTATACTACTTGAAGTCAAAACAAAAATTCCTATAACTTTTTTCTTTTTTGATGAGTGTTTTTGAATCTTTTGACCTATAAATAGAAAATAAAATTTACCAATAAATTCACAAATGGGGAGCCACACATCTGTAATCCCAGCACCTGGGAGGCTGAAGCAGGAGTTCAAAACCAGTCTGACCTACATAGCAAGACCCTATCCCCAAAAACAAACAAACAAAAAAGGATACTGCAAAACACGCAGTGAGTTAGTGACTTCCAAACATACCTAATAATTTCATCTGTTTATATTTGTGAAATTCAAGCAATATATTATACAAAGTACAACTTACAAAACTGCTATCACTGTCTATTGGCCCAATATATCTGATTATTATTATAATGCAGTGTACTACTGCCTGGAATTTATTCTATAATCCTTGATGATACAGCCTGAAACTCTGAGGTCATAAAGATGCCAAAATGCCAAGGAAGGATTACATTTATACCTCCCTTCACTAACACCTTCAGGCCCAACAGCAGGTGCTACCCTCTTCATCGGAAGACACTTGTCACAGCAGAAATCTTTCAAGTGATCTGCAAAGTGTCATTTCCAGCCTCAGAAATGTAACATTTAAAACTAAGGAGAAATCTCAGGTAGAAACATAGTGCTACTTCATCCATAAATTCTTCAATAACAAAATAAATACAATAAAGAAAAATCTGTAGGAGAAAGCACCCTTGTTAGATTACAAATAAATAAATGATATGGAGCGATCAGATCACAAGCCAAAGAAAGAAAATGCCCACTGAGCATACACTGTTATTCCAAGGCCAACAACAACCTATACAAGCCCTAACTTAGCCACTTGCTGTCTCTAGTTTAAATTCTCAGCTCCCATGTCTCATTTAAACTGATATTACTTCTCCTTTTGAAAATTCCCTCTCCCGGGATTTTTAATTGTGTAATTATGCAGCACGCAGGCACCACAAAACACAATACAGCCTTACAAATGTAGTTTAAAAAAAAAAAACCAATGTCATGCTCTTCACATTCTTCTAAAATAAATGTTCCCTTCAATCTGGAAGATTTTTAGTTTAAACTGTTGAAAGAGGGGGCAGGTTGAAAGAGGAAGGAAGAGTTTTAGTTTAAAACTGTTGAAAGAATGCAGCAAATTTACTTAGAATCCTTATTTTTTGGTTCCACTTATTTATATATCACTTCCCAGAACTCAGAGATTTTGTCACATCTAAAAATTAAAAATAATAAAATAAATAGCCAAGTAAAAACATCAAGAACTGTTAGAAGTATAAGATCAGAGGCGAGGACAGATACAAATCTGAAGGGAGAGAGGAGGGGCATAAAAGAACCCTTCGGGTGCCTTTTTCACGTTCAAATCACATGACAGCTTGTGAAGTTCAACATTCTAAAATTCTGGAGTCTCTGATAAAACAAATATGATGCTAAGCATCATTAGACCAATGAATGATGAAAGCCAAAAATGCAAATACTGTTTCAAATGAGATGTAGGCAAAGGGCAGTGTGGCACTAAGAGGTATATAATTCCATTTAATTTTCCTGCAGGGCACAGCTGACTTCTATCCCTATTTTAACATTAAGCAAAGCAAGACCTGGCAAGGAGAAACAGTTTAATCTTCACAGATTTGTCAAAAGGGATACAGAATCATTTGCATGGGATTTAAGGGTGAGCAGGTAAAATGCAAAGGTGATTTCTTGAAGTGCTAAAAGGTTCTGACTGCTGAGTTTCTAACATCCTTTTATTCATGGAACATGTACCCAAAATCTCAGAAATGTTAACAATTGACTGATTATGTGTGCATTTTCAAAGATCTTCTCCCTTCTAAAGGTCTCGCCTAGGCCAGTACTATCTCAGTGTCCCTAACTGCAGCATGATAACATCTATGATATTTGAGTAACTAGAGAAAAAATTACACTGATCCTGAGATTCCCACATGGTCAAGGTATCCTGAGACAGCTGAGCTGCCTTATCCACTGATGCTACAAAGAAATTTTTTAATTTAATACACAAGGAACAAAGGAGAGAAATAATGAGGAAAAGAAATGCACATACCTTTTAACTGGTCAGCAACCATACTCTGGCCAAGACGTTCAATAACTTTCCCATCTTCCATTTCGTACCGGTCATCTAAGTATTTTGCAGTGGCCTCAGAAATGTGAACTTTACCAGCCACTCCCAGCTGCTCCATGAGATTGGCCAAGTTTACATCATTGGACCACACATCAAATTTAAACCTCCTCATGCCCAAAATGCCACACAATACAGTCCCCGTGTGAACCCCGACACGCATGTTCACCATTTCTTTCTTCTCTTGGCAGAACTGTTCAATGGCTTTTATCATGCCTAAGCCCATTTCGATACAGCAGTAGGCATGGTCTGCTCGAGGCTCAGGACACCCTGCCACACAATAGTAACAGTCTCCCAGAGTGCTGATCTTCTCACATTTGGTTTCCTCACACAACCGGTCAAAGCGACCAAACAGGTCGTTGAGGAGACCCACCAAGGCATGAGCAGACTTGTTGGCACTCATCTTGGTGAAGCCCACAATATCTGCAAATAAAATACTGACTTCTTCGATCTGCTGCATCTTAAAAGGGCGGAATGCTATTGGAGCTTTCTGTATGGAGGACTTTTTCTTCCTGTTTTTGGGGCTGGAAGTGGCATGCCTCTTGACAGAATTCTCACTCTCCTCATCCCCCTGTTTCATTAAGTCATCAGCTATGATTCTTGGCATTACAGAATGAATCATCCTCTCTTTGAGGGCTTTTTCTACTTCTAGATCTTTTCCATGCATGATGGATTGTCCCACCTTAAGAAAGGTGCTCCTGGACCTCACTTGAGACATGACAAAAAGGTGGATCCCAATGGCATGAATACAGACATGAAGCAGGGCGCGGCTCAGCAATTCCCAGTGTAGGGCCCGTGCTTCAGGAGAAGGGAAACAGTCTTCATCTCGGAAATGAAAACCAAAGGTCTCAAAAAGGACTGAATAGACCACTCCCAAAAATAAGCTCAAGTACAAAGGTAAGTGCATGACGGTGTAGAGCAAAAAGAGTACTTCGATGCACATGGAAAAGCTTCCCACTTGAGACAGGCAAATGTCTGCGGGCCTGGCTGTGGGAGTACGATTGGAGCTGTCAACGTGTCCTGAGAGAGGCGTTAAAACCTGAAACTGTGCAGCCAGGGTCAAGGCGAACACCAGCAGGGTGAGAGCCAGCGAGGTCCACGCGTAATGCCGGGTGTACAGCTTGGTGAAGGTAAACAGAAAAAAGCCCACGCACACTACCAGGAAGCACAGAGGGGGGGCCACCATGACAATCAGTTTGGACCTCATGTGGACAGCGAAATAGATGCTCCAGAGAAGGCAGGCGAAGCCCACGTAGAAGAGTGCATACCGGAAGCGGCGCTGGGTCTGTGGGAAGCAGCGCTCCAGGCAGGCCTCCTCCAGGTTCACAGAGTCGAACTTGGGATCCCACCATCGGCTGGACGCCCTCTCGAACAGCTGGGGCAGCTTCCTCTGCCTGCGCAGGCGGCTCCTGCCACCCACCCTCCGCGGAAGCCCCCCGGAGTCCCCGGAGCTGCTACAGCTGGAAGAGATGCTGTACTTGCAGTGCTTGGGGTGGCTGTTAGAGGACAGCTGCTTGGGGTTGATCTTGACCCTTACGCTGTTGCTGTCTCCGCTGGAGTCGCAGCTCACCTCGGTGCTGTGGTGATGCAGCAGCTGCTGGTGGGGCGGGGAAGCCATGTTGCCAAGCTCTCGAAATCTTCCCGGCCGGGTCAGGGGTACCTTCGGGCAAAACGCCGAGAGTCAGAGCCGCCTCACTACACAGACACCTAAAGGGCACGCAACCTGTGCATGTGCCGAGTGCGGGTTCGGATAAGTGACTTGGGAAGGTACCATGTACTCACAAAAACCGCCGATGAAGGGTGGTTAATACCCCACCGTCTCACCTTCGTGGCGGCTGAGAACCGCTCAGGACTGACCTGGTGTTCCCGGGGGTCCCGGCGACGCAGCCGCCCTGGGTCCCGGGTCTGAGACGCGGTGCGCAGCCCTTGGGCACACTCTCCCGCCGGTGGCCTCCGCGCCGCGCGACTCCAACAGCGTCTTCGGAGGGAAGTTCAGTCCTTGAGCGCTCCGGGCGCAGCGAGCCTCTTTCATAAAAACAACTCCAGCGGCAAGCAGCACTTCATCCTGCAGCGGCGGCGCCCGGTGCGTCAAAGGCGCGCGGGCCGGACCTGCGGCGCTGGCCGCGTCCCCTCCCGGCGCAGCCGAGCCCCGGCCCGCACCCCGCGTCCGCGCCCCAGCGCTCCAGCCGGCCCTGCCCGCGGCAGGGGGCGCACCCCGGCCCGCGAGTTTGCCGAGCCTGCGGGCCCCCGTCGGAGCAGCCAGTCTAGCGTGGCCTGCTGCCCCCAGCCGAGCGTGCCGCACCCCCGCCCTGGGCCGACGATGCCGGGCCGAGTCGCGGGCCCCTCCGCGGGCGGCAGTGCGGGCTGCGGCAAAGTCAGGCTCCCGCGTCGTCCGCCCGGACGCCGCGCCCACGCCCCGGGGGCCCTGCCCGAGCTAGAGATGCCGCCGCGGCCGCGCCTGCCGCCAGCCTTCCCGCGGCCACTGCCTCATGTCGGAAGAGCAGCCGCCGCCACCATCTCCGGCCCCCTCCCCCTCCCGCTGTCACTGACAGACGCGCGCCCGCACCGCCCCTCGCCCCGCCGCAGCGCGCAAGCGCGGCCCTCGCACGCCGCCGCCAGGACCCGGGCACGCGCACGGGCCGCGCGCCGCCCCGCCCTCGAGCGCGCCGGGCCAGGGGCTGCGGGCGGGGCGGGGCGGGCGCGCGCTGGGTTCCGCCTTCGGCCCGGGGCTGGGCCTGGCTGCGCCGCGCCCTGGCCGCCAGCTGCGGAAACCCGGGCTTCCAGCGGCCGGAGACCACCTGCCCCAGTAGCGAGCCCGAAGGCCCCGGCGAGGAAAAGAGTAGCTGGGATGCAGAGTAGGGTAGTCACCTCTGGCCACGTCGAAGTTTTCCCACACTACATTCGCTTAAAGGAAGTCCCCCACTGTACCCGCAATAAATACAGGTTCCTGTGACCCCCTGGACCTCAACCTGTTCACCGAACGACCACCACAGGCCGAGCTCCACCTCTGGTGGCTTGGAAAATGAGGTGCCACTAAGCATCACCTCCTCTAGCCCTAGGAGGGGGTCTGTTTACCTCCTTGGACACCTCTGACCCTGCTTGGTTAAAAACTTTCTCCTTTTCCGTGGTTAACAATTCTACTTTGGCTTCCATAGTCTGCCGTGTATAAAGACAACCCTGTTCTCCCCAGCACCATTGTGACCCCTTCTCCTTCCTATACAATACAGTCACAGGGCTCTTTCCCTTCCTTCCCCTCCACATCTGCCAGGCGGATCCTAGAGAAGGCTACACTAGGTGTCACTGTGGAATTGGAAAATACAAAAGTGAAATAGGGGTTACCCATGCGACGGAATATTATTTAGCTATAAAAAAGAATGAAGTCCCGACACATTCTGCAAATGAGTAAATCTTTAAAACATGTTCAGTGAAAGAAGCCAGATGCAATGTCTGTAACAGGTAAACCCGTAAAACAGAACACAAACTGATAGATGCCAGGGAAGAATTGGGAAGTGACTGCTAATGAGTTTGAAGTTTTCTTTTGGAGTGATAAAAAAGTCTAGAAATAGAGATAACACAATATTGTAAATTACACCGTGGTTGTGCAACATCAATACACATAATGCCGTTGAATTACACACTTTAAAATGACTTAAGTGGTAAATTTTACCACAAAAAAAAGGAAGACTAAAAGTAGCATGTTCCATTGCAGTGGTATTTCTATGAAAAGGGTGTATTCTCGATCTAATTATGAGAAAACATAATGAGACGTAGTTTACAAAGCAAAGAGTATTCATCAAAAGTGTCAATGTCCTAAAAGATGAAGTCTGAGGAACTGTCACAAATTAGAAACTGTCATTAAAGAGAATATGACAACAAAATGGAACATAGGATCCTGGTTTGGATCATGAAACAGAAAAGGATAGTCAAGAGAAGGCTAGTTTCACTGATGTGTATAGTTTAGTTAATGGCATTGTGTCGTTGTTAATTTTCTGGTTTTGATCCCTGACCTATAGTTATGTAAAATGTTAAGATCAGCAGCAGCTGAATGTAGGATATAGGAAAACTCCCCAGTTTTTTGGCAAAGCAAGTTATTTTTATTGGTACACTTTAGCTATGCATAATGATCACGTTCATAATAAGGATTTGTATCTGTACATGTTTATAACTGGATTCTTTTTTTTTCCTATTCCTCTACCCTCTGTTCAATCCCTCTGCTCCTCCTTTTTCAGCTTTTAAGCCTAAAATTATTTCAAAATTAAAAAAAATTTAAATCCTTACTGGGCATCATGTCAAGTAGTTTTCAGTGTTTCAAAAAGTAGGGTCTATTGAACAAGCTAGAAAGTGACAGAATCCTGGTGAACTAACATTGACAAATACTACAAGTGCTAGAAACTACTGGACACTTTTCACTTCACTATATGGACTCTGAGGCAGATATTATTGTCTCTCATTTAGAGAAGTGAAACAAAGGATTCAAGAAGAATATGCCCAAAGTCCCACATAAATTAACCTTTGAAACCAGACTTTGAGGTCATGACACTCTAAATGCCCCAGGCACCACCTCTATGAGCCTTACGGTGATCCAGCACAGACCCCACCTGTTTCCTCCACCAACCTTGCTGAATAAGAGGCTCTTGGACACGGAGCTCACAACTTCCATTTCTCCCCGTTAATGCAATGTTTTCACCTGTTTGCAGTTTCCTTCCCCTCCCTGAATCATTTCAGTCTGCTCATTCTTCATGGTAACTTTGCATTTATAAATTAGTCATGATGGGTTTTTATACATGGGTAACAACCATATCTACATCCCTCCTTTCTCGTATGTCCTTCTGAAAGCGGTTCTGCTGCATTCCCTGTGGTTGAAACCTTCAAGCTGCCACAGACTTCCCAACCTCCAGATTAGGATGTGAGTCATTCCATAAACCCTTGGGTTAGGGACATGGTACCTGGCAATGTGCATTAGGTCCTAGGGCCACATTGATATCCCATCCCTATCTCTGAGGGCAGGGAAAGATGCTTGGAAAGGATCTGAGTTATAAAGATGGAATAAATTAGGCTTTGGGGGCTGCTGAGGATATAATTCAGCAGCACAGTGCCTGCCTGGCAAGCACAAGGTCTTGAGTTTTATTCCTGATACAAAAAAAATTATGTTTCAAGGCATATTGGAGATGAGAAATCCTCAGGTCTATAGAGGAGCCTCACCACATTCTCCCAGTGCTAGAACTCAGAAGGAAGTGACCTGAGAGTTCTGGGTTCTTCCTCTCCACTCTCAAAAACATAAACATATTCTCATACTCAGAAGATTAGACAGGGGGTACAGGGAATCAAACTCAAGACCTCAGGCTTGCCAGGCAGATGCTGAGCCACTGAACTAAATCCACAGCTCCAGTTAGAATGTATGGAACAGACACAATGACTTTCTTCCACCATCCAATCCAAATTGCTGCCAAATCTACAGGGTTTTCTTCTCCATCAGTGTCATAGGCAGAGCTCCCATTCAGAGGCAGTATGAATCAGAATGTGTCTATGAAAACTCTTTAAAAAGCTTACCAAAAAAAGCTCACCTTAGCCTATCTCACTTGCAAATTCATCTACTTGATGAGGACTTTGGCACCAAACCATCGGAAGTCACAGCACCTGACCTTACGATAAGTCGCAGGTTGATTGGCATTCTCATCACGTGAGTCCCTGAGATCTTAGCAGTGTCCATGTTATTTCTGATTGTCAGATGGATAATAACCATGGAGATGATTCCTACCAGAAGACAAATTTCCTGCTGCTACTAGGCCATGTGTCCACAGCTGCAACTACAAGTTTTCAGTTCTTTTTCCTTTTACCTGATGAGTGTAGAATTTTCCCCACCAATAACCTTTATTCAGTCTTGGATTTGAACCCAGGGCCTTTGCATTGAGCTATGTTCTGCATCCATTTTTTATTTTGAGACTGGGCCTTGTAAAGTCAGTAAGTCTTAGGCTGACTCAAACTTGTGATCCTTCTGCGCCAGCCTTCTAGGTTGCTAACATTACAGTTGTGTGCCACCATTCTGGCATCCCCACTGGCTTTCTTGATCCAAGTGACTGGTCATAAGCCTTGGGCAGCTACCTTCATATTAATAGAATCAATGTGAAAGCAAAGCAAAAGAAGACCTATTGAAGAAGGGTACCAAAATCCCTCACAGGCTCCCTGTAATCCAGGAGCATTCAACCTAACTATGTATATAGATTCTGAACCCTGCTGTGCCAGTGCCTAGCTCAATAAATATTCATTGAATGAACAAATATGGGGACTTAGAGATTTTTATGTAGTTACTCTCAAATGCTTTTAATAAGCAAAATAACATTTTTTGTATAATATTTGTAAAAGTTCTCTACTTACATTCACTGAGAAGGTTCTAGTTTGAAACTAAACCTAAATACAAGCATTTGTACAGCCTTATGGAGCAGGAAGGACAAAACCCCTAGGAATGGTCACATTTTGAAATAAAGAGGAGCTGGTTGGTGGTCCCAGGAAGATAAGCTTAGGAAAGACAGAAGAGAGAAGTTTCTGAGTTAAATATTGTGCCTATCACTCAGATCTGTCTTCGGGCCCAGCTTCTGACAGACCATTGCTCCCATCCCATCTAGTGGGTAAGGTGAGGAACCAGAAACTGCAGGCAGAATAAAGCCTCCAGAAGGAGGATGGCCCTGCTGGCGCTCTGATTTCAGATTTTTGGCTTCTAAAACTATAAAAGAATAAATTTCTGTTGCGAAACAACAGAGTGGACAAGGGGGAGAGGGGTCTCCTCTGTCACTTCACAGCAGATTTAGGAGAACCCTGAGCATCCTAACAGCTCAAGAGCTGCTAGACATTTCCAAAGAACATTGCAAGAGAATAGAGATCAGTTCTGACCAGTGGGGCTGAGAGAGAGAGGCAATATGCTCGCTTTGGTTCAAAAGAGCTCTAAGGGGCCTCAAGCTACCCAACACTGAGCCTTGTGT